ATCTCCAGGATTCCAGCGTTTGAATCCGTTTTACCTTCTTCCATCTTCAGAAGCAAATCCTCCTTCCACATGTCCGTCTAGTTTCTCCACTCTTGTCCCCATCTCTCCTTCTGTTGTCCCTTACTGTTCTTACTTCCTTGCTTCCCACTCTGGCCAGGCTTCTGCCACCACGATGTTCCAGAACCTTCCACCAAGGCCACCAACAGCCTCCATCTCTCTGTGTCCAGGGGCCACTTGTCCATCTTCATCCCCTAGCCTTCTCAGCAGTGGTTGCCACAATCAAACATGCCTTTGGTCTTGAAGTACTTTTCCTGTGGACGTTCTGACCAGATTCCACTCTGATAACCCAGTTCTTCTGCTCCCGCTCTGTGTCCTCCTCGGTCCCAGTGATCGTTCAGCACACTAGGCCTGACCTGTCATTGTGCGTCTGCTCCACAGCTTTGCTCCCCATCAGGAGGCTGGCTCCAGGCCACAGCTCCCTCCTGAGTCCAGCATCTCTGCCCAGCATGCCCACAGGTGCTCCTCCCACATCCTCCCCAGTCTCCGTGAATGCCCCCTATGCTGGTCCATTCTAGCTCAAGATAACTGGCTGGAATAACTGCCTCTCTTCCCTCCTCAGCCCACATCCAGGTTCTCTTTTACAAAACTTGCTAATATCAAAACAACTTCATCAAAATGTAAAACCTGCTTTTATTACTGATCCTTGCCCTAGATTTGGAGGACTTTTCCACTTGATTCATTTTTGTAGTCTTTGATTTTTTTTTTAAAGAGAACATTTTATCTTTATAATCAGAAAAAACAATGTAAGGAGTCTGATAGCCTGGTAAGCTTCTAAGGTGGTGTCAATACTTTTCACCGAAAACCACGGAAGAGGAATTTTATAACACTCAATAACATGTAGCTATGTTAACAAGAGTTTAGGGAGAAATTAGAGAAGTAGTTGATGATTCCAGGGTGAAGTGGGAATAAGGGGTCACAATGTGGCCAAACTACCAACCAAAGAATGTTGGCATTGTTAGGATTCTCACAGAATCTTCTATAGCAGGAATCTCCAGATATTACTGATTATGTAGTGTACGTACCCTTATTAGGGAAAAAAATTGAACATTTATCTCCAGTATATTGTGTTTTTAATATCTCATTCATATCTACCATGGTATATTATAAAAACAAATGTAATCAGAATTTCTAATTGGATCCACCCCCCCAAAAAACCTAGACTTTCTAATATGTTCTTTCTATACTGTGATAACCTATTGATCTCAGTAGCCAATGGAGCTCACTTTGCAGGCCTCTGGCCTAGGGCAGTAGTTCTCAGATTCCATGGTGCTATAGAAGATGTATATTTGAGGGCCCCACCCCAGAAAGTTTGATATTCCCCCAAATCTGGGAATCTATTTTCCATCAACCACCCCAGGGATCTTGGGGTAATCTTGGCCAGTAATTCATTTGGGCAAGCCTTGAGAAACCTTGCTCTAGTGTTTCTGATCAAAGAAAAAAAGAGGAAAAAAGAAAGAAATTACATCTGTATTTTATATAGGAAGTAATTGTCTGACTCTTGGTCTTTTAGGGGAAAAAACTCTATGACTCTGAGCCCTACCTCATCTTCAGAGGTTAGGTTTAAGGGTAGAATAACCTCCAGGAAGGCATACTTGGGAAATTTTTAAAAAGCTAAACCTTGACTGATCTGTTTCTAGGTTGGATGTATTGACTGGTTTGTTTTTAGGCCTGCAGAGTAGCCATGAATCCATCCACCTCTCTTCATCCCCACTATCCCCATGCACACTAGGCCACGTGACTCTAGAAACGAAAGAGACCCGGGTGTGAGGAGAAGAATTATGGGCTGCTTAGACGTGGTGGACAGAGAAGCCTTCTGGAGGTGACATTTGAGCCATGATACCAGGATAAGGTCCAGTCTTGGGAAGAGATGGGTAAAGAGCATTTGGGGCCAAGGCTTTAATCAAGGCCTCAAGTTAGAAGTGGGCTGGGCCCAGAAAGAAGGGTACTGGAGAGCCGTGTAACTCGAGCCTGGAATACTGTAGGATGTAGGCCATAAGGTGACAGTGGGAAGTCAGATCGGGCACAGCTTTGGGCTGCGGCTCTGGTTTTCAAGCGTGGCAGGAAGAAAGCTATGTTTCCTAGGGCTCCTGCAGCAAAGCACTGCACACTCAGCAGCTTTAAACAACATAAAGGTGTTTTCTCACAGTTCTGAGAACAAGGTGTTGGCAGTTCTGAGGTCCTTCTAGAGGCTCTGAGGGAGAACTTGGTCCTCACCGCTCTCCTGGCTTCTGGTGGTGGCTGGCAACCCTTGGCATTCTGTGACTTGTAGACCTAAGACTCCTGTGTCTGTCGTCACATGGTGTTCTCCCAGTATTTGTTCACGGGGCCTTTTGTAAGGACACTAGTCACTGGACTTAGGGCTCACTCATCTCCAGTATGACCTCATCATAACTGATTACATCTGAAGTTCCAGGTGGACATAAATTTTGGGAGAGGGCACTATTCAGCCCAGCACAGAATCCACTGGAGGTTTTAGGAGGAGAAGGATTTACATTTGAAGAAGACTTACATTTCTATTTCAAGAAGATTGCTCTAGGGTCGCAGACGGTCAGAGTTGCTCGTTGTCCGGGTGAAGATGGTGGGGTGTTCAGGAGGTGAAGGGAGCTGATGGGAGGGAGTCACATTCACCAGGAAGGACTGATGGGACAGCTGTGGGGGCAGATGAGGAGGGGCTGGGTCCTTCAGGATGACTCCTTGGTCTCAGTACGCACACCCCCTGGTCTCCCCACCACCACTATCCCCCAACAGCTACTGCTGGCCTGGCTCAGTCAGGCTCGGAGCCTGACACTAACTGCACTCTGTCTGTCCCCTGCCTGGCCTTACTCTGGATCCCTCTTCTCAGCCTGTGTCCCTCTGTGTGATCAACTCCCATCTGGCTTATCTGCCCCTTTCTCCAGGGAGCCTTCTCACCACCCCCAAGTCAGGGTCAGGGCTGCCTGTCCTGTCAGTACTTGGTCAGCATCTCTCTGCCCTGCTGGGCAGCAAATCCTCAGAAAAAAGGGATCCTGATGGCATTGCAGCTGTCTAGGGCCCAACACGAGTTCACAGAGCCACAGCCTGAGCTTAGGGCCAGGTGGGAGGCGGTTGGTTGGAGGGAGGTCTGGGGTGGGGCCAGGATTTGCGAGGAGGTCAGACATGGCCAGTGTACCAGAGCAAAGGCTCTCAGGCTGGGCCCCTTGGGGACGTGCTGACCACGGCATTCACGGTCTAGGCTGGGGTGCAGAGTGCTGCTGAGAATCCATGCACAGACCTAGACTGGTGCAGGCTTTCCGGGGTCTCCTTCACAACCAGGCTCAGGAAGGAGAGGAGGAAAGGAGGAGGTCCGGGCCAGCAGAGAGGTCTGATCACAGCTACCCCCAGGCCAAAAGAAGGGGCAGTCCCGACAATAGGCAGGGGCTCTAGAACCACAGGTCATGCCCAGGCAGCTTGATATGAAGGCTGAACTCAGCCTTAAAGACAGAACCTGGTTGGAGACAGGCTAGCCTCAGGTAGAAAGACCCTGGTGAGACCCAGGATTCCAGTTCAGCAGCTTCTGGCCATCTGTCCTTGCTGCTGGACACTGTGACCTGAGCTGAAGACATTGTCAGAACAAGACACTGTCCTGATGAGGAGGAGACCTGGTCTTGGCCCCAGAAGAATGATGTACCCTGGGAACAGCCAGTGAGGGATAGCACACTGAGGAGAGGGCCTGGGTGGACTGGGAGCAACACGGCCTATCCTTTAAGCGCTTCCCGACTGGCTGCAGGGTGGGTTCTGTCCCATGGACCAAGCAAGCTGGTCTCCCAGGCCCCACGATGCTCTTCCTAGCTGGCCAAATGGAGTCAGAGGCCATGCCCTTTCTCCTGACAAGTTCTATCTCTGAGCGAGCTTGGCAAAGTGCATATGGGGCCTTGACCAGAGCAGCTGTGAGCCTGGATTAGGGCCAATGCAGCAAGTGGACAAGGGTCAGCTGCAGGCTGGACTGCCCTGCATCAGGGACTACCTGTCCACTCAGAGCTAATCTTCTGGAACTCTCTCTACTCAAGGAATGGTCATTTGTGTCTCAAGATAGGAGGTGTTTTTTGCCCAGGTGCTTGTGGCTGAAAAGTTTCTTTGTTGGAAGGAAGCCTTGAACAGGAGGCTGAGGGATGGACTTGGTGACTTGACAAGGCCCTGACGAGCCTTGGGGCACTGTACACATAGGGGAGAGCAGCCACGTTGGAAGGGCCTGGGGCGATAGCATGACTCAGCCAGGTTACACTGAGAGGAGGAAGGTGGCATCACCAGCCTGAGCTCAGCAGATGCCCTCCCCGCCCACTCTGGCTCAGCTCGGGGCCACAGGGCCAGGGTTGTGCTTGGCCCCATGTTTTGGATCAGAGAATTGCAGCTCAGGCCTAAAGATGCATTCAGGGTCTGGGAATTGACCCCCAGATGTCCTGAGCAGGCTAGACAGTGGCAGCCTCCCTCCCAGAGCTGAGAGATCAGGGGTGGTTGCCTGTGAGTAAGGTGGAAAAAAAATCTCTCTTATGTTTCCTCAGGTTAGAAATCTGTGCTACATGGTGACAAGGCGCGAGAGAACGAAACACGCCATCTGCAAACTCCAGGAGCAGATATTCCACCTGCAGATGAAGCTTATTGAACAGGATCTGTGTCGAGGTAGGCGCCTTCCCTGCCCGCTGCCAGCCGCCTCTTGTGTGCACACCCTCGAAGGGCTGCGTCCCAGGGAAGATGTGTATCTTCAGGGCCTGGTGGGGTCTGAACGTGGAGCCAGGGGCCACTGGCCCCCACCCCTACCCTCTATATCTAGTTAATAGGCCCAAGTCGGGGCTTCCCAGGGTCCTACGTGTGTGTTGGCAGGCAGAGAGCCAGAGGTTGGAATGTGGGCATCAGGCCTGCATTCGGGGAGCTTTCTGGTTCACTGGGACTCTCAGGTGGTGCTGGGGCCCTAGCACCAGTTCAGGAGTAAATCACACATTAACAGGTACAGAAGTCCCAGTGGCTCTGTGCTGGAGCCGGGGCAGGAAGTGTCCAAGTTGGTGAGCTTCCCTGAACCCCTGTGTGCCTGCATGTTGATTCTGAAGAAGGCAGCTGTCTCAGAGATGGAAGAGGACCTATGCGTTCGTTCTCTCTGACCCTGTCTGACAGGACTCAGGCTTTGCACCAACAGTTTTTTCCCTCTGTCTCATTCTTATGCTCTTACCATCTCATATGGAAATCAAAGGTCAAAGAGGCTCTAACAGTGGTCTTACTTACTAGTTGTGAATCTGCTAGACAACAGGGCCCTTCCCAGAGTGCTTACATGTTAAGGAGGGCAGTGCTTAGCCCAGAAAAATGGCACAGCGCTGCTCTAATGTTGAATTGCATGCAGCAGAAAAGGTGGATGGAGAGAGGTTTTAAGCCAGGGGCTGCCTCTGGGTCAGGCTGGGCTTGGAGTAGAGGGAAGAGAGCTGCTGGGCCTCCACTGGAGCGATGACTGAGGACTTGGTACTGCCTCACCCCTGCCCCAGAGCTGAGCTGCCTCAGCTGTACTTTGGGATCACCGTCCACTCTGTCCCAAGAAACCAGCACTGCTGAGTACAGGTGCTGAGTCAGGGTGAGTCACAGCCATGTAGTCGTCAGAGCTCACCATGCACCCCAAAGACTGGCAGCTTCCTGGCTGCTGGACCTTACACCAGGCTCCCTCATCTGTTGGCTCATTTGACCAGCACTAATTGGGTTAGACAGGATTCCAGGCTCTGTACTGGGCATCCTGCTGTGGACTGAATGGACAGGATTCCTGTCCTCATGGAGCTCACCATCTGGAAGGACAAAGGAAAGCGGTCTCCAACTACAGTTGGTGCCAGTTCAGGGAGAGAGATATCAGGGATGGCTTCTTGGTGGTGGTGATGCTGAAACAATGTCTCAGACACTCTAGTACTCACTGTGGCCACACTTCCCACGGCAGGAAGGCAACAGAGAGTGGCAAAGGCATGCAGTGCCTTCAGGTACAGGATTCCAGAAACACGGTCAGGAGCCTGGAGGATCCGCATCCCCACGTTGAGTCTGGAGATATTTGTAGTTCCTAGACCTAGGTGGCAGTAATAGGCAGCCTTTGGGTCAGAGAAGGGTATTTGGAGAGAAGATTGGCTTGCCTCTCCCCGAAGTGATGCCCTCAGTGTTGTGACGCTTGACCCCTGGGATGGAACATAGGCTGCAGGCATCTTGCCAAGGCTTGCCTGGCCTGAGGGCTGCAGAAGGCTTCCCAGTGGCAGTGATGTTGGCTGTGAGCTGAACCAGGTGAAGGACAGGACAAGGAGACTGCATATTTGGAGACCTGGAGGCCAGAGCTTGTCTTGTTAAAGAAACTGGAAGGAAGCTGGCATAGCTAGCTGCAACAAGGCAGAAGAAAAATGTCTGAAGTGAGGCTGAGAGGCTGCCAGGGTCAGAGGTCTTGTGGCCCTTGACAGGAGCTCAGACCATGGCGAGGGCAGTGGAAATCTTGAGAAGCCTCCCTCTGAGGTACCTAGACACTGGTCCCATGTGGTAGGTGAGGAGACGGAGGTCTGGCCTGAAGTTGCACAGGGAATTAACAGCAGAACTGGGAAGACCCCCAGAGCTGGGGCCATACTCCTCAGCCTTGTCTTAAACTCAGTCAGCCCTCCAGCCTCTGTCTGAAAAGCTGGGAGAAGATTCCTGGCAGTTGGGCCGCCCCCTCCACACGTCCCTCCCCTGCTCTGCTGTGTTCTGTGGCTCCCTAAAACTATGTGGGATCATGGTCTAAAAGACTGTGAGGGCCAGGGTGCACCCTGAATCTCCCTTCTACTGTCTGATCTCTAAAGCAGACCGGGAGACCAAGGCAGGGGACTTGTTCAAGGGGGCTGACCGCTGTGTCAGGACTGGAACCCAGGCCTCTTGACTCCACAGAAAGTGTCCTGTCCACATTCATGTCCAGCTCCTCAGCCTGGAATTCAAGGCCCTGCCCTGTCCACTTAGCTCCAGCCAGCCTTCCCACCTACTTCTCTGTAGTCCTGAGATCTGTAGGCCACATAGATCACACTGTAGTCCAGGTTGTTCATACAGGGTGGTCTTCCACCCTCCTCATTGGCCCTGTGTTCCCTGCCAAGCCCCTCGAGGGCAATTCCCCTCTCTCCCATACCAGCTGTTCCTGACTGACAAGAGCCCCAGTTATCCCAGGTCTCGCATGGCTCTGAGCCTGGGCTACCAAGGCGGGGGGAGGTGACCTAGAAGGTGAGGCATGAGGTGATGGAGGACTCCTGGGATGCCATGCAGTGATCATGGTTCTGGCTGGGCTGTTTGCGGTAACTGTCTCCCTCCTGCTCTCTGTTTCCCTGACGCAGAGCGGTCTGGGAGGAGAGCAAAGGGCAAGAAGAGCGACTCGAAAAGGAAAGGCCGCGAGGGCCCGAAGGGCAGCCCCGAGAAGAAAGAGAAAGTGAAGGCAGGGCCCGACTCAGTCCTGGGGCAGCTTGGTGAGTGAGTGGCCACACTAGCCTGGTGCACATGGCCAGGCCCATACTGTCACTCCACTTGCAGCTCCCCATGAAAGGCCAGTGGGAACCACCAGCATCCTTGCTGCAGAGTGGGAGGTCCAAGAACAGTAGCTAGGCCCTTCATTGCTCAGGCACTCTCACCTTCCAGCCGTAAAGGAGACAGGGGTCTCTGAGACCCTTCTGGCATCCCAAGAATTCCCCTTTTGTAGACCTGGAGGCTGGACCCAGATGCTCAGGGACTGCAAGGCCCTTCCAGGAACCCAGCATCACACTGGGAGGTGAGGCCCTGCCATAATTTTCTGTCCCTGTCCATCTCTGCTGGAATGTCCTCAAACGGGCCCTCCTTCAGCACCAGCAAACCTTCTGAGAGCCACCTAGAGAGACCCAAAGGAGTGGCCCTGGCCCAGCCCATCTCACTGTCACAGACAGTCCTCTTTACTCCTGACCTGTTAAAGTTAAGCACAGCAGCCCTGGAGGGACCCCCCCAGCCTTGGGCTTTGTCTTCTAGGATGTCACATGCTTCCTCTAGAACACTTCTCGAGGATGAGGTGGAATCCCCTTCCCCACCTCACCTCTAGCACAGAAGCCCCAGGTCATCTTTTATTTTCCTCAGTCTCCAGAAGAGGACAGCTTGGTATCTGATGGGAAGCCCAGTCTCACCAGCTGCCCTCTCCCAAGACCTCTGTTACGGAGGGAGGGCCCACAGCTAGAGCTGGCCCTACATCCAAAAGAGACCTTCTACCCAGTTATGTCTTACTGTCCTATTCATGTCTGACACCCTTTTCCAAGTTTCCTGCTTTGGAAGCTCTGGGAAGCAACACCCATTTAAAAAACCCAGTGCCCCCTGGTGGCCTGAGTGTGTTTTCCTCCATTTCTCCATCCCTTATGCCCCAGGATGCCAAGTGGTAGGCAAGGCCATCTTCATGGTGTGCACCTATACAGCTTGGTTTACTGCTCTGCTGTTGCCACTTTGAAATTCGTAAGTTTTAAACAGGGAGGCCACATTTTCACTTTGTACTCTGCTCCTCAAATTATGAAGCCAGTCCCAGGAGCAGGATGTCCTTCTGGGGAGAGGGGTATTTGCTATGAATCCTACTTTTTGGTGGTGTTGGCAAGAGGGATGGACAAAACAAGATAACTCAGCTGGGTCTAGCACAGAGGGAAAGAGGGAGGAAGATGCTCAGTGGTGTGCTGGGAGGGTCAGAGAAGACGTTCTGAAAGAGGTGGGACACACACCTGCTCTTATCTTACCTGCCTCCTTTCTCCCCTCGGCCAGGCCTATCCACCTCGTTCCCCATCGATGGCACCTTCTTCAACAGCTGGCTGGCGCAGTCGGTGCAGATCACAGCGGAGAACATGGCCATGAGCGAGTGGTCACTAAACAATGGGCACCGCGAGGACCCTGCTCCGGGGCTGCTGTCGGAGGAGCTGCTGCAGGACGAGGAGACTCTGCTGAGCTTCATGCGGGACCCCTCCCTGCGACCTGGTGACCCTGCCAGGAAGGCCCGTGGCCGCACCCGCCTACCTGCTAAGAAGAAACCACCACAGGACGGGCCTGGTTCACGGACGACTCCAGACAAACCCTCCAAGAAGCCCTGGGGCCAGGATGCTGGCAGTGGCAAGGGGGGTCAGGGACCACCTGCGAGGAAGCCACCACGGCGAACGCCTTCTCACCTGCCGTCCAGTCCTACGGCTGGAGACAGTCCCATCCCAGCAGCTCCCGAGAGCCCCCCACCACTGGCCCCTGAGACCCCGGACGAGGCAGCCCCAGTGGCTGCCGACTCGAATGTCCAAGTGCCTGGCCCTCCGGCCAGCCCCAAGCCCTCGGGCCGGCTCCGGCCGCCCCGAGAGAGCAAGGGAACCCGGAGGTCTCCAGGTGCCAGGCCTGATGCGGGGACAGGACCACCTTCTGCTGTGGCCGAGAGGCCAAAGGTCAGCCTACACTTTGACACTGAGACTGATGGCTACTTCTCTGATGGGGAGATGAGCGACTCAGATGTGGAGGCTGAGGACAGCGGGGTGCAGCGGGGTCCCCGGGAAGCAGGGACTGAGGAGGTGGTCCGTATGGGGGTACTGGCCTCCTAAGTCACCCTTACCCCTGTCCTGGGCCCTGCCCTGTTCCCCCATGAGGCCTCAGCCCAGTCACAACTGCCATTTCCAATCTCTGCTGAGTGTCTCAGACCCTTGAGGTTGCCACTCTGTTGTGGTTTTATTTTTAATATAGAAAGAGTTTCAAATTCCACACTGTTGTCTTTCCTCTGTGCTGGCCTAGGACATTAGGATTCCTTCCACGGCTCCGGCCACAAGGACCACACCAGGTCCTGTGCACCATCCCTGCCGCGGCAGCATCCCCACCCGGCCCACGCGGCATTGCTGGGCTCCTGGCTAGATATAGGCAAGGTGAAGGAGAGCTCAGGACTCCAGGCCGCTGCCATCGGGTGACACAGACTTGTTTGGGCATTATTTCATGGCAGATGGGCCAGCCCAGGGCCTGCCCCACCTTGCCCTCAAATCCCACTGGGGTCCATTTGGGGGGGTCCTGCTGCACTCCACTGATCCCCTAGGAAGTATAAGTGATAACCCAGCCAGAGTCTACTCACTGTCACAAGCACAACGAGCTTATATGAGAAAGCACTGAGGGGGCGTTGAGGGCCCGCTGGTTCCAAGGGAACCACAGCTGTTCCTGATCAACCCACATCATCTGAGGCCTGCCCGCCCACCCCGCAACCCTCCACTCCCTTGCTGCTCTGCCCCTGCTAGTGCCCAGCCCAGCGGCTCTGGGAAGGGCTTCCCAGAATCCTTCCTGAGCTGTGCCATTTTCTCAGGGGACTCCCAAACAGCCAGCCGCCAGTGCCGGCGGAGGGCTGTGAGGGAGGGCCAGTGCCCAGACGGGGCGTGGGGCTCAGGCTTGCTCACTGCAGAGAATCACTCTGGAGCTGCAACTTCCTTCCTTCCTTCCTTCGGGGCCAGTCTCGGCCGAGGTCTGGTCAGTCCCAGACAGCTGACCAGACCAGACCGTTTGCCTTTTCAAGTTTCCCAGTCCTGCTAAGAGATGAGCATCTTCCTTAGTTTCTTTTTGGAAACTCCTCCTTGCAACAAGCAGTGGGATCCCGGGGCCCAGGGCGGGTCAGTGATGGCCTCCTGGGGCTGTTTTAAGTCTTGCTGGATCTTCCTGGTTCCTCTGTCCCTCCGAGCCTTAACCCCCTTTCCCAGCCATGCCCTCCTCTCCCCACCATCACCCTCCTGCCTTCCCTGCCCCACCCTCTAGGTCCCAGGTAGTAGCTCTGAAAAGTTTCAGTGGAGTGGCCCCAGGGTGATAGCTCAGGGAACAAACAAAAAAAAGGAATTCAGTGAAAACATGTTTTTTTCTTTTATGAATTATTCCTGGGTCACTTCTGCCACTGGTAAAGCCAGAACTTCTCCAACAAGAACCTTGCAAAAGTCCAGTGAATCAGTCGAATCATTCTGTGGATGCCAAAGAATATTTTGACCATAACACAGCACAGCCTGGACCTGACAACTTGTCACTTGGACTTTTTTTTTCAATGGAGTTGTTTAGCAACCAAGTCTAGAAACATGTTCATTGCACACACCCAGGGAGGTGCGCCCAAGCTCTTGGATGAGGATGTTGTTCTGCTGCTGAACTGTTGGAACTGGGACCCTGGTGTTGCATTTCAGATCCTAGGCTGGGCCCGCTGTGAGCTCTCGTAGACTCCGAGGCTCACAGCAGGGAGAATACTGACGGTGAAACCAGCGTGGCAAGAGTCTTACCCTGGGGTTCCCTGCAAACAACACACAAAGCGCAAATCAGCGGGATAGGGAGCAGCCAGATCACCCATCCCCAACTCCAAACTGTAAAGGTACGACAGTGGCATGGTCATCGACACTCAGTTTCATGTGAATTTTATCAAAACAGGAAACAAAGATAATGACTAAGTTTAAAGGGTCGGACAGATTTGTCCAATTGGAGCAGACTGGGAGTGGGCTTCAAGGACTTGGCGTTGGGATGGCATGAGCTACCCTGCAGAGTTTAGCCTGCCTGCCACCTTGGTAGTGGTGGCCAGTGTGCAGTGTCAGCGTCAGCATCCCAACCCCATTCCTGTTTACTGCCTTTGAACAGACCTTCTTCCTTCCCCGTGCTTCGGGTCACCTCGGGTCACCTTGGGTCACAGCCTTGTCTGTGCTGGGTTGCCTGGTCTGACTTCACAGGAAGCAAAGGGACGAGCTTTAAAGAACAACCAAACTGTGCCATAGTGGGGTCGGGGGTGCATGGCCAGGAATGGCTCAGGTCCAGTAGACTTGCCCTGTGACCCTTCAGCCATCCTGAGGCAGAATGGGCTCCCTGAGGGTGAGGGCGGAGAGAGAACCAGGGTGGGAGGGTAGTGGGTCTGGCCGAGGTCTGGACTGGGTGAGCCAGGCTGGGCAGCCAGCACTCTTGAGGGGGCCTCTGCTCAAGTTGGCCTCTGGATTCAGACCCTCTTCTCTACTGGCTCTTGTTTTGGACTGAACTGTCCCTGGGGCCCATGTCCTGCGTGGAGCCCAGGTGCTGTAAGGCTGGCTGGCAGATCTCCCAGGGCAGGCCCTAGAGCTGTCCTTGCAGGCCTCTCTCCACCTTTAGGATGTCCACCAGGCTACATGGAGGATAAGGATGCCACTTCTCTCCGCTGGCCTTTCTGCCATTAGACACAGCCCCTTCACTCTTTTCCCATCCTACCGTCCGCAGTATAGATGGCTCTGCTGCCTCTGAGGTCACGGTGGGACGCAGGAAAGGCAGAAGGCTGAGGCTGATCTTTGGCTTGACCACATCTGCCCACACTCCCTGGCCCTCCCCAAGGAGGGAGAAGCTGCTCTGGAACTCATTCTGGCTGTCATCCCCATCCTCCCAATCCCCGCAGCCCACCACCTCCTCCCCCTCATCACCATGAGAGAAGATAATGTGCAAGGAAAGTATTTTTATGCATCATAAATGTATTTTAGAATAAACAAGAAGAAGAAAGTTAGAAGGGTCTATTTTATTAAATGAGCTCTGACTTGGTGACAGTGTGTGAACATTTACAGTGTAAGGTTCCGGGTTCCTTGGAGAAGCCACCCAGGTTTCCAAACATGGGTGTTGGACTGTGGGGGTGTGTGTGTGTGTGTGCCAGGGCACGTCTCATGTGTATGTGTGCATGTGTGTGGGTCGTGTATGGCACACTGTGGAACTCGCAGGGGCAATTCCTAGGGAGTCAACTGTCCAATTCTAACAGATATGGGCAACAGCTGGACCTGACATTTCCTTGCTCCCTGCCAGATGTGGCCAACCTCTGCCGATGTCTGAAACTCTGCAGGATGGTCTGGATGCCTGTAGCAAGGCCCTTGGGGAGGCCACTCCTTATGCCCCTGCCCAGCTGGCCACATTGGTCAAAGAGCAAGGCTGGAGTCTGGGACCTTTGGTTGTTCTTTAAGGCATTTCCTGCCACCATGTCCCTCAGATCCACAAACACTCTGTGCTCCACATCAGCTCGGGGTTGGGGGGAAGATATGAATGTCGCAGGAGGAGACACCTTCTGTCTTTGTTTCAAAGAAAGTGATGTGCCATTTGTTAATATACAAGAGAAATATTGAAAATATATTGAAAAGAGCAATTTTAAATTATTTTTGGCTTATGTTGCAATATTTATTTTCTTGTATTAGAAAAGATTCCTTTGTAGAGAAAAATGTATTTTTCATTAATGCAAAGACCTATTTCTCCTTTTTGTACATTGTCCATTTTCGCTACCCTCAACGAGCAATAGAATGTATGGCCGCCTGGGGTGGCCAATGCCCGTGTGCCCTGCATGACTCTGTGTTGCCGCTGCTGCATAGCTCCCAGTCCCATCCTGTCCTGCTCACTCATGGGGGTTTCCAGAGCCCAGCCCCCACCAGGGCCTGTGTCTTCAGGAGCCCTTTGCATTCCTCGTGTGTTGGCAAACGCAATTAATAAAGCAATGTTTTCTGTGCTGGCTGGCGTGAGGCTCCGTTGCATTGAGTGGGGTGGGGTAGGGGGTGCTCAGTGAAACAGCGAGTGTTCCCTGGGTGTCCCAAGGGACCTGCTGCTGCTTCCTAAGGAGTCGTAAAGTGATGGGCATAGTGAGTGCTCAGTACACATTGGGGCTGGGCACTATTTCGTTTGTTCCTCCTTGCTTTCATCCCCTGGAGTTCAAAGTGGATGACGGAGCTACCCAAAGCCATACCTCTGGTAAGTGTCAAAGTCACTACCTCTTGAGCCACCTACCTGGGGTAATGGGAAGGTTTGGGAGGAAACTTAGGCATCTGTTCCTAGATCAGGAAAGATTTTTGCCCAGATTTGTTTTTCACTCATTATGTCCTGAGTACTTACTCTGGGCCGGGCTCTGTAATGTATGGGGAATGCAGCCACCATCTCTGCCCTGGGGGAGCTCACAGTCCAGCAGGGACACAGACAGTGAGGGCACTGGCAGGTACTATGAAGGTCTGGGCTGATCTGGGGGGGTGGACATTCAGGAAGGGTTGCTCTAAGGAAGTAGCATCATTTGTTCATGCATTCATTCATTTGACAGGTGGTCTACTGACCATGTGTCTCATTCTGCCAGTGTGCTGGATCGAATACTGTGGGTTCACCAGGACCCTGCCCTCCTAGAGCTTCCAGGCACTGCAGGCCTGGAGAACAGTTGCTTGCCCAAGGAGAGCTGGATAGGAGGAAGGGACAATAAGCACTCCAGGGAGAAGACTTGGCACATGCAAAGATGGATCAAGCTATTTGTGCAGGAGTCTTGGACCTCCTCTGAGAGCCTGAGGGGAGGCTGTGAAAAGGGGCTTGAATTGAGACTCAAGGAATCAAGCTTCTGGGGCTGCTGACTTAGTTGTTGACGTCTTTGTTGCCCTACATCCTCCCTGGAGCAGTAGAAGGGAGATCCCCGAGGGCACCTCCAGATACAAAGTTCTGTGATTCCACAGTGCAGAAGGTGTTGGGAATAAGCCTGAGGTGGAGGGTGTTTGTGCTTTGAACACCTACGGAGGGAGAGTTTCCTCACTGACAGGCCACATCCCTGCCATAGGGACCAGGGAACCCTGTCTGACAGACATGGGTGCTCTCTCAAGGTTCTCGACTGAGAGTGAGATCCGTATTGGCAGAGTCAGCATGAGGCAGGGCTGAGGGGGCTCCTGGGTGGCCAGCCCCCCAGCTGTGGTTTGGGGTTGTCAGCTCTCTAGGCCGGCTGCCTTGGGCTCAGCACCCCAGCCTCTCTCTCCTCCTGGTGCCCACCCAAAGCCAGGCCCACTTGGCCTCAGTGCTCCAGAAGATGTGAGGCCCCGCTGCAAGGCCTGCAGCTGCACAGCTGATCCGGCTGATGACTGTGGGGCAGGAGAAGTCAAGGCACCTGGGGGCCCCGAGGCAGCAGTGTTTCGAAAGAAATTAAGTGTGAGCTGTATGTGTAATTCTAGCAGCCACATTTTTAAAAAGTACAAAGAAACAGGTAAAATGAGTTTTAATAACATTTTATTTAGTCTATTATATCCAAAATATGATCACTTGAACATGTAATCAATATAAAATAATTACTAACGGGCCAACGACAGAAGAGTCTGAGGGGAAGGCAGGTGTGGGCGCTTCCCGCGAGGGGCGGGCCCACTCACCGCGCTTCCTTCCTGCGCACGAGTCAGCGCTCCGAGCGCCGCCCACCGGGCCCTGAGGACCCTGGGATGACCGCCTACCCGTCTGCAGAGACCAGGCCAGTGTGGGAGACAGACTTTAATCCGATAGTCCCGAAGCAATGTACGGTGGCACACAGACTGCGTGGCAGGTGAGTGAAGGCTGCGGGGAGGGAGTTCTCTGCCCACCCTGAACTTCCCTTGTTCTGGCCAAGCTCCTGCTAGGTAGGGTCTGTGGCGCCATCTGCTGCCCAGCCCGGATGCCTCCAGCTGCGGGTCCCGAGGCCCACGGGGCAGGGGGCCAGGGCCACGCTTGCACTCCCAGTCTCAGGACCCCGGCCCTCTCGTCCCCTACACAACACGCCGCCGTCTCCATGGCCCTTTGCCGGCCAGCTCGGAGAAGGCTCTTCTCTACGTCAGCCTTCAGGAACAGGGAGGCAGTTAAGGGACAAGAGACTCCCGGGAGGATAAGGCATTGTTTGGGGCCTGCTGGGGCCAGGGGACCCAGGCCCTGCCTTCCTGTAACTGTGGAAGAAAGGGACGAAGTCGACAGCGGGTTGCAGAGGGAGCACTGCACGCTCCCTGAGCCGGCCTCCGCCCCTCGTCCGGCTCCCCGGTCCGTGCGCAGAGCTGCCAGAGGAGGCAGCAAAGGCCCCTTTTCGTGGAGATGAAGGTTCAGGACTCACAGAAGCGCCAGGAAATACAAGTTGCTCAGAGTGGTCTCACAGCTGCCCTCCTCTTCACAGGAGACCCCCCACATTTCAGCCCCACCTCGCCAGGCTTTTGGGGGCATCTGCAAGGGCCAATGCCTTCCCGCTGGGAGTGCAGGGCCCCTGGGTGCCCCTGTGTGTGTCTGCCTGCCCCAGCCCCCCACTCTTCATTCCCCTGGTGAGAGACGCACCATCTGGGGGTCGCCTGATAAGAGGAGATCATCAAATATAGATTTTAGGGCAGTCTTCTGGGGTTCAGGCAGGCTTGCTGCCAAGAGTCAAAGGGAGGGAGGAAAGGATGGGGCTTAGTCAAGCAGGTGACTAAAGTGGCAAGCTTGTTGTAGCCGGCTGGTGCTCTACACCCAGGGCTCCATGCCAAGCCTGGAGTTCAGAAGCATCCACACCAGCTTGTTGTGGGGACCTGGGTAGGGACACAGAGGCCCTGGTGCTGGCTGGTGAGGGTAGCAGTGGGTAGTAGCTACAGTGGGTAGCAGGAACGGTTTCCAGACTGAGCAAATAGAAATACAGGACACACAGTGAAATTAGAGTTTCAGACAATGAGTGCTTCCTTAGTACAAGTATGTTCAAAATATTGCATCTTGTATTTTACCTGGCAGTCCTAGCGGAAGGCGTGGTGTCCCCCACCACACTGTGTACCAGGCAAAGAGCTGGTGCTAGAGAGCAGTTTACCATTGTGTATAAACTGGAGCAGATGCAGCACTGTCCCGACAGCCCCAACATGTTCACCCCTGCAGTGTGCAAGCAAGGGGAAGGGGCTGCAGCCATTGGCCAGGACATACAGAACCCAGCCTGTGCCTTTCTTATCAAGCTACAGCCCCTGTTGCTTGCATCCCAGCCCAAGGTTGAACAGAACTCCGAGGTGTCCTAGAAGGGACCCTGCTCCCTAAAGCTTGTTGAGGCCCATGACCCATTTATTATCTGGCACAGGGCAGCATGTAAAGAGTTCACATTGGTTGCAGCACTATTCACTACAGCCAAGAGGTGGAAACAACCCAAGTGTCCATCAATGGATTAATGGATAAAGAAAATGTTGTAGAACCTGCAATGGAATATTACTCATTCTTGAAAAGGAAGGAAACTCTGATACATGCTACAACATGGATGAACCTTGAACACATTATACTAAGTGAAATAAACCAGTCACAGAGAAACACATACTGAATGATTCCACTGATACGAGGTATTAAATTAGTCAAACTCACAAACAGGAAGTGGAGTGGTCGTTGCCAGGGGCTAGGGCAGAGAAGGTGGTGGGAGTTGTTCAGGGGGTGCAGAGGCAAGATGGGGGTTCAGGTGCACAGCAGTCTGCATACAGTTGACAGTATCATACTGCACACTTGGAAATTGTTGGACAGGTAAATTTTATTTTATGTGTAATTTTTGCCACAGTTAAAAAAAGAATACAGAGAAAAAATCCTGCTACATTTATTAATGCACAACTGCTTTGTTGCAACAAAAAAATGTGATGATAAGGAAAAATAAGTCATTCTGAAACACTGAAAAGTAAAAAGTTCATATTGGGCCTCTATGCCCTTCCTGGGCTACCCATGATGCCCCTGGGTTCCCCCCCTCAATCAAACTCAAACTCAAGGCATCTTTTTATGATTGTTAACCCCACCCCACCCCCAAGGTTTTTGCACACTGCTGTAGGAAATATGGCTGAGCCAGGATGAGGAGACCAGGGCGCTAGTCTTCTCTCTGCCATTGACTTGATGTACAGTTTTCCCATCTGTGAGATGGGAGAAGAGGATGGGAATACTGAGATCTCCAGGCTCTGGGGGAGATATCCATGGTCAGGGGAAGTGGTCAGTGAGGGGCAAGTAAGAGCCTGCTGGGGCCCTTTATTTTGCCTTAGGACCTGCTGAGTGGGGTGGGGCTGGCCGACACAGGGCACTAGCTGAGCCTCCAGACTGGACTCGGGCAGAGCAAGAGCTGGAAGAAGCTTGGGGCCTTTACACAATCAGAAAGCCTTTGTGGCTGCTGCCTCATCTGTCACCAGGTGAGGGATCTGTAGGGGCACAGCACAGGCCGCGGGCGTGATCACCTGCTGGGACACGAGGTCTGGCTGGGATGGTGACAGGGTGAAGTACTGGAAGGAAAATGAGGCATCCGTCCTCCGGGCTTGGAAGGGGGCAGAGGCCTTGCAGGCAGGGTGGGGGACTCTACGGTTTGGGCGATAGCAATTCTAGGCTGGGCTTGCCCAGATCTAGGGGTTCAGTTGGTGATGCTCCTTATTCTCCCTCCATCCTCAGTGAACACTGGTTTCATGTGACGGTTCAGGTCCAGAGAATTTGTGCATGACCACACTGTGAAGCAGAAAGCGACTAGAAATGGAGTCTTCTGGGCCTTAAGGTGGTAGATAAGGGGGAGAATCAGAGACCTGTATTTTGGCCCTTTCTGGGCCTCAGTTTCCTCAGTTGTTACATGTGGATGAGAGTTCTCATATAGGATGGCTGCAAGTCACAAAATAGGCAGGGATATGAGGCAAGCAGAATGAGGAAACACTGAAGGGGTCAGAGGGAGGACGTAGGTTTAGGCACAGGGCGCTCTGACTCTGGCACACTGACCAGGGGCCACAAGGCCGAGGGATTTGTTTACTAGCTCCCTCTTCCTGGAATCTGAGCACCACTGTTTACAAGCTGTCATGGACCTCCCCGGGCCCAACCAGGACAACTGTGGTCTGGGGTCAGGGCAGGGACTGGCTGCGTGCAGCTCCCTGGGTAGGGGTGCATGGAGCTGGTAGTAAGCACCCAGTGGTCATCATGGAAGCAGCTCATGCGATGCCTGGGCCGGAGAAACACCCACCTTCCCAGCATTCTGTGCTCCTTGGTGGCCATCCTGCACACCTGAAACCTTGTCAGCTAGGACCCCAGAGGGAGCTGAATTCCTTCTCTCCCCGACCCCCACCCCCTTTTGCAAAGAAGGTGAGTTCCATTGCTAGGGACCGAATGTTGTGATCACCACGAAGCTCAGAAGGGCACCAGGGCTTGCAGGAGAAGTGGAGGGAGAGAAGTGACTCAGCAAAATAAATCTTCACCTGTGAATATTCTGAACTGCTATTCTGGGACTCTGGATGACTGCCTGGTTCTGTTGACAGGTGTTTGGTATACAAAGCCTTGTTTCTCACATGCCAGCTGTAATGTTCATGCTCACCAGCTTCAGGAAGGAAGCCTAGGAGGCTTGGGAAAGAGGTGCGGTGCGGGGGCCTGATAACTGCCTCGTCCAGTGTTAAGACTCCCAGGTGGGCTCGTGTCATAGGGAGCAGTGTGCGCTTAGGGACATCGGGAACCAGACGGTATTCTCAAATCTTAGGGACCCCTCTACTGTCCAGGAGCACTTTTTCTGGTCAAGAAGGGGTGTGGGACCAGCACCAACCTGCTCCATCAATCCTGGTTCCTGCTCAGCCCTCTTCCGAGGTGATAAGGACCTCAGGGTCTGTGGACTGGGGAGGGGGCATGAAAGCTCATCTTGCCTCCCACCTTCTCTAGGACAGCCTCTGAATTCTAGTGACAGAGGGTCTGTCAGTTTACAAGCAACCCACTGCTAAGCCATCTGTGTTAAATTAAAATCATCTTCCTTAAATTTAGCTGTAATTGTTGCCTTGAAATGATCTTTCTATTCACAGGTTGTCCTGAGCCCTGGAGCCACAGAGATGAGGACCAATCTGGTGTTCACTGGGCAGCCCTTGGGTGATTTGATGAGTTAGGATACCCTGCCCACCTGCCTTTTCAAGTTCAGGGCTTTCCTAGGGGACCAGAAGGCAAGGTACCCCCTCCTCTGCTTCCATCACACGTCTGACTGCTTGATGGATGGAACCACCACGTCCACACACTGTGCAGGCGAAGCCAGTCCCAGGTAAGAGGTTTGTGGAGGAGGGTCAGAGAGGGGACAGATGCGGTCTCTGCTCCTCTCTCCCAGTGGTACCCTCAGTAAGCCCCACCTTCCACCCCCTCAGCTGATGTTTTGTAGGTTGGCGATAGCTGCTGTGTCAACAGCTTCAGCTTGTGTTTTAGTTTGACCTCAAACCAGCGTCTTCCCCGTGGTCAGTGCCACACGTTCTGGTGCACAGCTCTATGGTCAGTGTGGCATTTTGAGAAGGACACATCTCTATCCAGGTGGTCCCAACTTCAAATAGCATGTCCTGATTCTGAGCTGCTGGCCCCACGAGCAGGCTCTCCTGGCAGGTCACTGGCTGCTACCTTGGGCTGGAAAACATGGTCATGTGTCATAAAATGTCATAAAATGGTATTGGTGTTAGAAATAGCCTGCTTTTCATGACAGGTGAGGAACAGGTTGAAAGATGGGAAGGAGTGGCCCTGCTCTCCCGCCTCCTCCTCAGGTCAGGCCTCATCCTCTCATCTTCCCTTCCATCCCGGCCTCCTGCTGATACTCCCCCAACAGTACCTCTTCAGACACTGAGCTCCACCAGCCCCAGTCACAGTGCGCCCTTTTCTGCCCTGCCTTCGCCTTTGCTCTTCTGCCTGCCTGGGCTGTCCTCTCATCTCTCTCACCCCTTCTCCTCTAGCTAGTTTGTACTCCTTCAAGATTCAGCTCCAGTGTCCCCTTTCTAGAAACCAAGACAGTGTTTGAGGGCCCTTCCCTTTTGCATTCCATGATGCCTTGGGCAGACCTCTGCCCATTTTTTGTCATCTGATGTCAGCCCTCAGCAGGCAGGTGTTGAGGAAATGCCTGCTGAGTGATGGGAGGAAAGGTAGATAGAAAGGAAGGCCAAGCGCCTGAACCCGAATCCAGCACCAGCACAATACTTGGAAAATGCCTGGTGATGCCTAGTAGCTTTTCACTCATAAGGCTTTGTGTGTGAGAGAGAAAAAGAGAGAGAACCTGGTGAGTAGGGACCCTGCCCCCTATTCGCCCAGCCCAGCACTGGCACATAGAGTGGTGGGCAAAGGCCACCCACTCATCTGGTCGTCAGAAGGGCCAGGCATTGATTTTCCAGGATGGCAGATTGAGGCCCCAGAGAATCCAAGAGGGGTCCTCCTGCCACCTGACTCCTGGAGGACTGATGACTCTGAGCCCAGCCCCAAATAGAAGCTGAGGTGGAAAAAAACTGACTGTTCTCTAAATAGCTTTGTGCCCCTGCCATCTGCTGCCAGACAGGGAAGAAAGGGAGGAAACCTTTGTATGGTTTCCTTCAAGAGCTGTCAGAGCTGTGTCCCCGTGCAGTGGGGCCCCTTGATGCAAACAAGGTCGCACTGTTTTTCCTCTTTGGGGCCTAGAACAGGGCTGGAACTCTCATGTTCTGCCCTTTCCCCCCAAATAGGGGTTCTTTGCCATTCAGGTGTCAAAAGTGAAGTTCCTAGAATGGAGGAAAGTCAACTTGCTTTTCTCCAGACTGCAGTTAATCTGAGTGGCTTCTCAACCAAGACGTGGGTCTAGAGATGCCAACCCAAACCCAAAGGGCCAGGAGTGAACACTAAAAATGTTGCTGTGACTTGGCAGTGTTTGCAGTCTCTCTAGTTTCTGAGATTCTGCTAATCCTGGATGAAATGGGACTACAATCCCACTGTTGATTTTCACAGTCAGTTCTTTTTAGCTCAAGAAAGCAGTGAACAAAAACCTCTATTTTGACATCTAGTTTCTCTCTGGTCACCTGTACCTCACCACCAATGATTTCTTCCCCTTTTGTACTTTTAACAGCCACGAAACATGGCACTCGTGAAGATTTTTTTTAAAACAATTTTTTTATTGAGTTATAGTCATTTTACAATGTTGTGTCAAATTCCAGTGTAGAGTACAATTTTTCAGTTATACATGAACATACATACACTCATTGTCACATTCTCTTTCGCTGTGAGCCACCACAAGATCCTGTATATATCTCCCTGTGCTACACACTACAATCTTGTTTATCTGTTCTACATTTTGAAATCCCAGTCTGTCCCTTCCCACTCCTCCGTGAAGATTTTGACTGTGGAATGTTACCCATTAACCCACGCCCTTTCAACAGGATCAAGTAAGAAAGCACTTCAGTTTCTTTTTGCAACACTATCAGCTAGTTTGTAGTGGCACAATGCCATCACTGAAGTCATAGTGACTTTGATAAACATGTTAAATTTTTCACCATAATACACCAAATCTTAAAATCCACATTCCAAAGCAACGCGCAAGGCTTCCTTTGCTCACTAAATAATAGCCAGAAAATTATTGGGCCTTGGTGTCTGATTTTAAATAAACCGAGTTGAGGTTTTGTAACATATAGGTCAATTAACTGGAATCCCCAGCTGAACCCTGTAAAAGGGATGCAGCAGAAACCGGGCCTGTTTTAGGACCTTTGTTTTGTTTCAGGACTTTTGTTTTTAAACATCAGGTTAGGAGGATGGTGGCCACCACCCAAAGGACTTTATTTAGTTTCCTAGCTTCTCTGTTCCCAGCAAGGGGCCTTTCACACTCTGCTGGGGTTGTGACATTGTATTACTTGTACCTTTAGTGCAAATATCAGAGTTTAGTGGAGGATTATGTAGCTCAATTTAAGAAGATGAGTTAAATGAACTGGACTTTATTTTCTTAGCATTTGTCCCTTCAGTGCATTTACTGTTTCTATCTACTTGTTAGCTTCAACAAATAACTTCAGCCAATACTAAATCTCTACTTGATGGACCCAACTGTAATCAAATCGTGACTGGTTGTGTTAAAAGAGCCAGCACAAAGCTTGTTGTCATCCTGCATCTGGTTAGTGGGAAGGTTAAAGGGATGGCTTTAAACGGGTTTTATATTTGGATTTATGTTTCAAAAGGGGCTTGATAATCCTTATCAAAATGACTAATTTTTTTCTTCACTGATTGGCCAATGATCATTTAGTGTTACCAGTTTTGTTATATTACTTTCTCCTAAATGAAAATCTACACACTCTGGCATCAGAAACACCCGAGAAGCTTGTTGAAGATTTGGATTCCCGCCACCCCAGATTTACCGAATCACAATCTTTGGTGAGATTTTACTTTCTGCCTTGTTTTTTTTTTAAAAGCCCCTCCACCCCACCCACCCTCACCCCACCTCAGAGCTTCTGATGCACACTAAAGCTAGAGACCCTTCACGTAGACAAAAGCAACCAGCTGACTTGCTTCACATTCCCACTGAGTTGGCATTGTGTAAGTCAGTCCTACTGCAGTTTGCCCATAAATTGTTTTCAGTCTTACGAGGCAAATTAGACCTCGGTACCTAAGCAAAGTTTCCTTGGAATCCTTGCACAAAGGGCAAGTTGATTATCTTAGTAATTTCAAAGTCCAAGAAATTTCTGATGAGCACAATGAAAATTACAATTGGATGACAAAAATGGAACTTGACACCAGAGTGTTTCAAAGACCAAGTAAGCATTTTATTTTTCTATTCCTGACACTCAAATTCATAGGGGATGAAAAGATAATAGAACATAATCAAAATAACATACAAACACAATTCAAGAACATTTTACCATCTATTGTAGCTGTAAAATACATAAAGGTAAACAGAAATATCTTCATATAAATTAATGCTTAACCATCTGTATACACTGTAAAACAATTGTTAAAATTCACACTAAGATGCTAGTGCAAGCAGTGGTGTACAAAAGTGCAAACAAGGTTAGTGATGAAAAACTTATCACCAACTTACCACTTCAACATACTCTGCATTCAGCCAAATACTGAAGGAAGGCCTCGCCACAGAAAACACTTTGATCACTTTTAAATTAACTTGACTACATGCACCCTGCGTGCTCCTGCCTCAGGATGGAAACTGATCACGAGTTCAGGTGAGGAGCAGCACCAGGGAATCCAGAAACCCACGTGAAGTTGGCCATTCTGCTGTGAATCTTCACACTTGACAGTGAAAACAATTTCAAGGATAATTTGTATGTCAAAACCTGTAGAATTATCACCTTCCTTTACCTCCAAATATTTAAAACTAAAATTAAATCTAATCTCCTCCTCATTTAAAATGCACACCGAGAAGAATTTATCCACTCCAGTGCAGCTTTTCCAAAGATAATAATTCTGTGTGAAATCACTCAAAAGCCTTTCTCATTTCTGCCCCCAAATCTAGTTGGGATGGGGCACTCCTGAAACAAAGTTTTCCTTCGATAAATTTGCTTCCTTTACTGTGATTACTTTGGATTCTGTTTAAAAGTGTGGTCAAAGCCTAGAACAATCAGTCAGTGGCATTAAATATATTAGCTACTTATGTTCTAAATTATGAGGACAAAAATTAGTTGACTCAGAACTGCATCTTCAGTAGACTCAGGTTCCCTTTAAATCAGGATCTTTTATCCAGGAGCAGGCTGGGGCTTTGTGATGGGGACAGCTGCAGGGTTCAGGAGTGGAAACAAGTTTTTTAACAAAATCCCACTTTATACAGCAGCACAGTTCCATATTTCAAGAGTTTGTTCCTCTCTCTCTCTCTCTCTCTCTCTCTCTCTCTTCTTTTTCTCTTTCTTTTTTTTTTTTTTTTTTTTGGTTATAAAGCACTAATGTGCATTTCAAAAGAAGCACAGTGACTAAAGTGACCAGAAGCATCAATATATAGCTTTGAGAATTTAGTTCTTAATTGAAGATACAGTTTTCTGCACTCTTCAATTTATAGCAAAAAAAAAAAAAAATTAAAAAAAAATTAAAGGTTTATAGAAAAAAACCTTTAATTCCCTATTAATTTTTCATCAATAAGTTTATATTTGCTAATCTCTATTTTTTAATGCTTTCTTGGAGATTTTTTGAATGTTTTACATATGTTTAAAATGATCCAAACAATATATTCTAAATAAAATCAACATGAGCTAATCTGAATGACTTCCCTTTATGTTAGCTACTTTCATTATATTCTGGTCAAAATTTATTTGGCAATAAATCCTTGCAAACTTCAGTCATGTTAACTAACAAGACTGAAATTCCACATTGAGTCACATACCAAATACAGTTTCAGAAAATGTAAACCTGTCTCCTGAAACTCTTAAATCATGTCAAGTAGAAGTATACTATTTTTAATGATGGAACTTTCCAAAATGCTGGAATTGAATGTGGTTAATCAAATCATTTTGCAGAAGGCAAGAAACACTATTATCACAGCTATTACCCTATTTTAATGATTTACAAGTAGTTTATGAGCACTGTAGAGAAGTGTGAGCCAGGTGAAAATGAAGGAAAAGAAACAATGTTCTGTGTATCAGTTGTAAACCACAGTATATTTGTATGCATACACAGGCACACAAAACTAAAATTTAGATCTATGCAGGCAACATCTAAATTCATACTTCTTTGGCACTCAAAGATGCTGGGTCAACTAAGCCAATGGTGCAGAATATTTTTTCCCTCTGCTTTAGGAAATGTCTGTGCCACAATTTTAAAATGCTATAATCCCAATTCTAAAAATTCACCGAGATAAACTGGAATCCATCCATGTAACCAGTTACTCAAAAGTATACCAGCAGTCACTGAAACAGATGTGGGGTTAAGAGTCTCTTTAAAAATAGAAAAGCCAGCTGAGGTCTAATATTTTTAGAGTTTTGGACTTAAGATTCTAAAATATATTTTGAACACTTCCTGCTTTATATGAACTCCAGTCTTGTAACAATAGTGTTAATTACATGTTCACCATTTGCAGTGGGAGGTACAAAATTAACCCATGTCCCCCAGACTAGCATTTACCTGAAAAATACTCCACAAATGCACACACCTGCACAGGCACGTAGAGAGAATATGTGCTTCTACTGCTTCTTGCCCTTCTCTTAACTTGCTTTCCTGAAAGAACCAGGGATCCTGGTATATGCCTGAGGCGCTCTCAGAGCTGGATGGGGGACTGTCAGTCCCATTTCCCGGGAGCTGGCGGAAAGCTCGCTGCTGCTACGTGCAGCTTTATTTCCAGAGGTTCAGGCCCTAAGACTCTCACACGACTGGGAAAATATCCACAGTTTAACTGTGGTCCAGAAAGTGACTTTTGTTTCTTTGATCCCAGTGACAGACCTAGAGTGAGCGTTCTGGAGCAAGACATTTCGTACCAGAAAGCAAATCCCCTCTAGAGAAACCAGAAAGCTTTTTCCTGTACACCGATTTATAACACAATTAACTTCTCAAGTATCACAATAGATACTAGGAAATACTTGAAGAAAGGCATGTCCATGTAAATACTGAGAACAGATACTATCAACGAGAGGCAGTTACTTTTAATAAGGCTTCATTCTGTTCAGTCAGGACATTAAAGTGAGTACTTTAAACATACCTGGCAGAATAGAACAAGAGGCTGAAATGTCATTTCCTACTTTACCCATAGTGCTACTGATGTTCTAGGCAGGGAGGAGGCTTCTTTATTTTCATTTAGAAGGAAGCTGAAAGTGGAACAGAATAGCTACATTCCTAAAACCAAATGTTACGGTGAAAAAACCTTGTTGATTTAGCTAACTGGTAATTCCTTCCAGGTACATCCCTCAATCCTTATTTGCCTCATGTTATATTACTGATGACAGAAAGGACTGTCTGATTTGGGCAACCGCTAGAGAAAACACTAATTTTGATATTAAAATTATTTTTGATGGAATTAGAGCAATTTATTCTCAATGGAATTAGTTAAATACTATAAAATCTTGGTTTATAACCAAGGGAGGAATCTTAAACTTGAGAGTCTATAAAAATAAATATTTGGCACTTGTTTTTCATCTAATTATGGAAATCTCAGGGAAAAAAAGAACCCAATTTTCTTAGGAAATTAAAATGCTTTAAAAAGCTAACTAAAATCTTATTAGAAAGTCTGTCAGTGAGGCTTGTAGACACTATCACATGGTAAGCATTATATCCAAAAACAAAAGCGTCTGTGCTATAAAGTAAGAGCTAGTTGAGAGTAACTGAGAAAAAAAGAAAAATACATGAATTCATTTTCTTCCCACCAAGAAATCAAATATGGTAAAGAATGCAAAAGGGCTATGGGATAGGAGCAAAATCCCCACATATCTCAGTGACAACTGAAGAAGAACAGCCTTTCTTTTTCCTCAGATGCAGGCCTCTGTGATGAAACTGCGCACAAGATCCCACCTGTCGCTTGCCCTGGTGAGTACCATTAAGTATGAAGAGACTGGGGAGTACCTCTATCTGTGGGGGACTGGTGCCTGTCACTACTCCTGGGGAAGAGGCACAGATTACCAAACTAGGCGCCAGTAAGACTGGAGCACTTCAGAACCAGACAACTGGAATGGGCCTATCAAACCAAAAATGAACCCTGTGTTGTACCAGAAGGCGTGCTTTTCCTCAGAAGGCCGATCTGACAGGGACCAGGACACAGACCCCATCAGCACTGGTAATGGTAGTATTACTGATAAAAATACGTATGATTCAGAGATTAATGTGGTATAAGGTATAACCAAACATAACTTGTCTCCTGGTAAATGCAAAGCCTCTTGGGACTTAAACATTATTCTAATATTCTGAAGCAATCTCCTTTCCCAGCAACCCCCTCATATGTATAATGTGAAATAGGCCAAATTTCAGAGCATACTAACTAGGTAAGACACATTACAATGAAACATTTGCCCAACAAGAATGACGAACATTAGAGTTTGTTTTATTGCATGACGTTTGCATAAGAAAAAATACTGAAAATTTTAAGGCATCATGCAATCAGTAAGCTAATTATTAACTGTTCACTTAAGATAGGTGGACATATAATCTAAAATTTAAAAACTAGTTCCAAAAAAGTACATAAAAAATTTAACATCATGAGCTTTTAAATATGGTTTATATTTGTAGTTTCATGTTGTTAAAAAGTGCTTCAAATGTACTCTGGAAAGTTGCTCTTTATAAATGGTGCTGAGGGTAATGTCAGATTATAAACTGTAAAAACTATTTTCATGGAATTAGAAAGCTAACATTGTGATATTCAAACTTACTTGAATCAGTTTTCAATTCTCACTCAAATTAAGTTGATAGAATATTAATAATCTAAAAAACATCTGTTTTCTAACCAACAAAAGTCTATTGAATTCAAGTTATGCATGTTGAGTGATCAAATCTCTGAGTAGGCCTGAATAGTGAGACCTGGAACTGATGCCGACTGCTGTTAATCAATGTACTGTGCCATCCAGCGGAAGCCTTCTCCGTAGCCTTGTCTTTTGAGCACACTGCACATGAAAACTTCCAAGGGCCGGGCATTCAGTTCTTTCAGAGAGACACTGCCCTGGAAGAGAAGATGCATGTGATGTTGGATGACCTGCAGTAGAACTGCAGCTCGTACACCTCAGAACAAAGGGTGACTATGATAAAGCTGTGGCTGGGCTGTTGGACATCCACGTCCCCTAAACATGCAGGAAGCTTCCTCCTCTCTACTGTAAGACAGGATGTCCCCTCGGTGGGACAGGGGTGAGCTTGTGAGGCACACAAGAATGAAAATAATCTGTGACTTAGAAAAAATTCAAGTTACCCAACTGGCTTCACCAATATTAAAGACAAACATTCTCTGAGTAGGTTTATGACTAAACAAGGCATTCCTTAAAATTAATGTAGAGTCAACTTATTAAAAAGAAGAAAAAGAGGAGGGGAGGGTGTAGCTCTTATGGTAGAGTGCATGTTTAGCATACATAAGGTCCTTTGTTCAATCCCCAGTACCTCCTCTAAAAATAAATAAGTAAACCTAATTACCTCCCCCATCTAAATAAATAAACAAATAGATAGATAAAAATTAAAAAAGAAAAAGAGAATAGACCAAAGTCTACTTTATCTAACACATGAGCCTCCTTCCATAGGCTGCAATATTTTTCTACTCTGAAAGAGTAAACTCTGGGATTTTTCAATACTAAGGTCCTTCCCCCAAACAAATTCCAATGAAAATGAATGCAAAAATAATTTATTTAAGCTTATTATAAAGTATATGTTCAGAAAACCCCAGAACACTTCTATGGCCAAGTTTACAATTTATATTTATCTCTGGTGAACTGAGAGCCTAAACGCTGAACTGGGTGCCTAAATACACTACTGGTGTGCTTAAACATTCAAGTGTATTATTTGGTGGTAGTTCTGAAAAATTACGATAAATAAAACCTGAAAGCTTTCATTTAGTTTCCTGTAATCATGAGATCTGACATTTTTGATAACACCAAGATAAAGATTTCATTCAGTGGTAGAAAGAAAATAAATGAGGACATTAAAAAAAGACCCAAACGTATAAATGACAGTTTTTAAGAAAAAAGTTAAAATGAAGCCAGACTATACCAACTGAACTGATAAGCATGAATGCTGTTAGGGGTAGTGCTAGAGCAAACTATTTCAGAAGATTAGAAATAAGCAACGAAAATAAAAAGACATTTGTAGTACTGAATGAAATACTCACACTTGTCAAAAAAATATATATATATGTGTATTCTTTTTACCTTTCCTGTTGTCTGACCATATAAACCAAACATCTCTCTTAATCTCTCTTCACTGATGGCTTCAGGTCTGTCGATCTTATTCCCAAGAATCAGTATAGGCACATTAGCAATAGTTTCATCTGTCATTAGGGACTGAAAAAAAAAAAAAGACAAGATACTGATATGAAACCATCTAAAGGGCTCATTTTGACAAGATACCAAATGGGTATCAAGGACTCTCTCTCTATCATCTCATATCTGTTTGGCCAACTTTCTTCGGCAGACTGTCCCAGCATTTGAAAGTGAGCTCAATGAACCTGTAGTTCAATTCTTCTGCCGCCCTAAGTCTCCTTCCATAAATGCTCACTCTGCTCACTCTGTGATCAGTGAGGTACAGTGACTGGACCCAACACTCTGAAGGCATGCACACCTGGTTTCATTTCTAATTCTACTGCCTCCAAGTTGTGAGATGTTAGACCAATAATCCTTACTGAAGTTCAAAGAGAATCTGCATTAGTAGCACCTACCTTATGGAGTTGATTTGAGAATTAAAGGAGGTAATATGCACAGTACCTTGCACAAAGTAGGAACTCAGGAATTCCCTGACCCTGTTCCACAACCACAGAACCTACCTGGACTTTTCCACATGAATAAGTATTTGTTTGCCTGCACTGGGCAGAGGTATGGTCAGATCAACCTTCAGTCAAGTCACAGACCTGCTTTCTCAGATTTAACACTGGCCTTGCCTGCTGTTCCCAAGCCCCTTTTTGAAGCATCTGAACTAAGAGAGGGGAGAGGACGTGGCAGCACGTGGCCCTGGTCACTCCTGAGAGTGGTGACAAAGATAGCATGTTATACCATTTCCAGGTTCTGGCCAACTCTTGAAGAAACCAGCATCCCAGGATGACCAGGGGCTTAAGATCAAGCCACTGTATGAATGTGGGACATGTGAAATATACTATAAAGGCACACTCTGCACAGAGTGAGCTCAAGCCTTCAGGAAGGAAGTCTGTGTCAGTACTTCCTCAACAGCTACAATTACTCCAAGTTACTCCTTCTGCATTCTAAGCAGGGTAATCACTGAGCTCTACAAACTGTTGGGAGTTACATCAGAGCTGCAGAAGAGCCACACTCTGATACGTACATCTCCAACCTATTTCCTCAGGCTTACCAGAGTGATTCCACTGTGTTTAGTTTTTATTTAACTTATTTAACTTACATCAAGTTCTTCTTTTGATTCTAACAGCCTTTCATGGTCTGCACAATCCACCAGAAATACAATGCCATTGATAGCAGGAAGGTAGTTTTTCCACACTCTTCGAGCTAACAAAAACAATCAGGAGTTAGATTTTATTTGCTGGTCAAACCTAGGAGATGGTTTGATGGAAGAGTCCAACAAGATACCAAGTGTAATTATCCCTTAGCTGCTGCTATTTTGCTATATATTCAAGTTAATTTTTTACCCAGTATTGCCAAAAATCTTTCCAGATGACCAAAGAAGAAAGTTCAAGTTTCCCTCGATTACAGGCAAGTCAAATACTTTACTCTGCCCAGTTTACTCATGTTAGAATTAACATTTGCTACCAATGGACAAGGATGCACATTAAGTTCACTGGAGAACTGCTACTATTTTTTATATGCAGTATTCAGTTTTTGACATTCCTAGTTTATCAGTTTTTTGCCAGTGATAAATTTGGAGTCAGTGACAGAAGGAAATTAGTATCAGGTACAGAATTGTTAAGTTAAAATAATAAAGCAAATTGTTCTACTCATAACAGAAATTAAGGTTTATGAAACCATTAGAGTAATTTTTTCCATGACATTCTAAGAAAAGAAAATAATTTCAGGCACACCCTAGGGGAAAGTAACTTTTTTCTTTGACTTTAATTTTATAATATATCTTAAAATAATAATAATAGAAATGAAGTCTCTAACAAACTCCATTAGGTTCTAATTCTAATCATTATATTCTACTAAGTACTTTATGTATATTTCAAACAATTGATGTATATCTCAAATGTGCTTTCACTAGCCACAGCAAGCTTTGTAATATTCATTACTTATGATTGCTATGTGCTGGGTATTGCCATTAAAAATATGGCTAGGATTTCAGTCCCAGAAGTTTAGTAGAGAAAAGAAGACAATCTTTCCAAACCTGTAGACATGTATACAAATGCACTAAGTGCTATGTTAGTATAGCTGAGAGCACTCCCAACCTGGGAGTGGCTTCTCAGGGGAGGCAGCCCCTCTTACACTGGGCCCTGAAGGTGGGTTACTTAAGTGCAGATGGGGATGGCATGAGCACAGAGGTAGAAGAACACCAAGAGGTTTAGTTTGGTTGGAATAAAGACAATGCGAAAAGGAATAGTGGGAAATAAAAGCTAGAAAAACAAACTGGGATCAGAGCATAGAGATCATGAATGCCTGGTCAGTAAATTTGGTTTTTATTTTGTACGTATGAGTTCACCACTGCAATTTTTCATATGGAGCAATAACATATTCATAACAGGATTATGATAGCAAGCGAGACACGAATTGGAGAGAAGGAATGGAGGCTAAATTTTACTCATATGCTTTACCACCAAAAGCAATTCAGACAAACTGGAGTATCATGACAATCATTCTTTGTATTTAAAGCATTTATCTGTGGGTAATAAATTCCTAAATTTTAAGAATACCCTGACTTTCCTTGAAAAGAATGAGATTTCATGTACTGGAACATAATGGTCACATTTTTATTAAGTAATATAAAACAAAGCAACTCTATAAGAGTAATAGAATCTTACCTTGAACATGCCCACCCAGATCAAAAGTTGTAAAGGTCATTCCAGCAATGGTTAGTTCTTCTGAAGCTAAATAATGATGCAAAATATTTTAACAACACGAGAATCAGAAATCCTTTTCTGGTATATACTGCCACTTAATATTTGACTTACTTTAACTGTAAATAAGGTCAAACAATTCAAATAAAAAAAGAATTCTTTGTTCTAACTACTATATCCCATTCATATTGAAAATATAATATAAGTAAATGGTAATACTCAATTCTTATATTCACTACCCACCACAAATCCCACACTTATCTTTCCTTCTCTAGTAATCCTGCTGAAATTGACAATCATTTGCTGTGAATTCAAGTGACTGGCCAAACCTAGTAATTTTTCCTACAATTCATCTTAAATGATAAAGACGAAATAACAATTTTCTCTCATGGCTGTCATATTTCTCAGGTGACAGTCTTTAATGACAAACACAAGTGTAATACCAATTTTGGCCATTATTTCTTCAAGTATTTTTTTTCTGCTCCCTTCCTTCCCCTTCTGGGACTTCAATGATAGATTTGCTAGACTGCTTATTATTGTCCCACAAGTTACTCAGGCTCTGTTCATTTTTTCTTTTTTTGGTCATTTTTCTCTCTGTGCTTCTTTTAGTTTCTGTTGAGTTGATGTAAGTTCACTGATCTTTCCTTCTGCAGTACTGGCACTGTCTAACTTGCTGTTAATGCTATCCAGGGAAATTTCATTGCAGATGTTTTATTTTTCATTTTTGTAAGTTCCATTTGGTTCTGTCTTACCCCTTCCATTTCTCTCCTCATTATGTTCATGTTTCCCTTAAAACCTTGAGCATATTCATAACAGCTGTTTCAGTGTCCTTATCTGCTAATTCCATCATCTTTGTGATTTCTGCCATCATCTTTGTTACAATCTGTTTCTACTAATTGATTTTTCTCCTGGTTATGGCGTTCTCACACTTTGCTGCTGCTTTTCTTGTGCGGTAATTTTCAATTGGATGCTGGATTTCACTGTATCCTTTTGAAGAAAGTTGGACTTTGTTCTGGCAGGCAATTAAATTGCTTGCGGATCAGTTTTTAAGTTTTGTTAGGGTAGATGTAAAGTAGTCTTTACTTCGGAGCCATGTTAGCCCCATAACTAAGATACGATCCTTTTGGAGTCTCTGTTGAATGCCCTGTGTATTCAGCTTGATCTGTCCTTTCTGACTGATCGGAACATGAACTCCGGGCCCCATGTGAGCCCTGGGAACTATCTGAGTAACCGCTCCACTGTAACTTTTCTTTCTCCAGAAATTGTTCTTTGACTGGCCATGCGTAGTTTTACCCTGCATATGCAGATTGGTTTTCAGCCATGAAAATTTCTGGAGTTCTGTCCCTGCAGAGCTCCTTCCCCTGTGGTAATCTGCCCAGAGAATTCCAGTCACCTCAGCCTCCTCAAATTCTGGTCTCTATTTCCTCAACTCAGAAAAACTACTGGGTTATGTTTGGGTTTCCTCTCCCTACATCACGGTCTGAAAATTGTCTTGTGATAAAACTTGAAGAGTTTGTCTTTCTTCTCTCAGGAATCAGAGCCTGTGCTAGCTATTGCCAAATATCTGAAAACAGTTTTAGTATATATTTTTGTCCAGTTTTCTAGTCACTTACAGTGAGAGGGTAATTTCAGACTCTGTTACTTCCCAATGGCTAAAGGCAGAAGCCCCCTACAATTACAATGAGAGGTTCAGTGTACCTGTTAACTATTTTGTATAACTGGTGAGGCCTCAGAGTAGTTTATCCTGTTAAAAAATTCTGCATGTAGACTGCCAACTGATGAATAATTAGTACAATTTGTGTTCAAAGCATTATCCTTTCCATAAGGATAATGCTTGGATGTGGTTGGTAAACTATCCCTATGATTATAATCCCCAGTATACTCTCTGCTTTATAAAAGAAGTCCCAACTTGACTGATTAAGATACACTAACATACAAAACACTGTTAACATCCCAGCAAGATCCCTCTTGCCCTTCCCAGTCAGTTCACACCTCCACTCCCAGAAGCAAGCACAGATCTGAGTTTTATCACCACAGGTTTGTCTTGCCTGCTTTAGAATTTCATATAAATGGTTTCATACAATATGTAATTTTTTGTGACCAGCCTCTTCCATATAATAGGCACTGTATGTATCAATAGTTTATTCCTCTTTCTGGTTGAGCAGAATCTCATTGTTTATCCATTCTTTTTTTGATGGACATCTGAGCTGTTTCCAGTTTGGGGCTATTACAAATAAAGCTGATACAAACATTCTTCTACAAGGATTTTGGTGAACATATGTCTGCATTTATCCTAGAGAAATGCCTGTAGTGGAATTGACAGATCATAGGGTAGATATGTGTTACCATCCTCACATATGCTTTTAATTAGTTGAAAAATATAAGCTGAAGTGAATGTGAACAGCATAAAACAGCATGTTTT